GTTTAATAGGTATTGCATGATTGGTGGGCAGGGTCAAAAAGGGATTATTATAATGACATGGCACCTCGGAACTAAGTGTTAACCCTTTTTTGAGAAATCATGCTCAAGTATATGAACCCAAATTGCATATTAAATAAGTTTACAAGAACCACTAAAATTAATCTTAATCTTTTTTTAAGAAATTTTACTTACCTAAATACATGTAGGTACTTAGTTTTAGACCAAATTACTTCCCAAAAATGGCCTTTTATTATTATCTATGTCTGTAATTTTTAATTTACTTTAATTATTAAGTTTAATAATCCTAAGATTTGCCTACGCCCATGGACGACAACGAAATTCAGGCAAATTTTATGACACTTCATGATTTATTACTCTACACTCTTTTGAAATAGACTATAGATTTCAATGGTATAGTTCAGGTTATGCTCACTGTGTTCAATGGTATATTTCAGGTTACGCTCATTGTGTTCTTAGATTTCAATAGCATAGTACAGGTTATGCTCACTGTGTTCTTGGATTTCAATGGCATAGTTCAGGTTATGCTCACTGTGTTCTTAGACTTCAATGAGGAAGTTCTGGTTATGCTAACTGTGTTCTCAGACTTCAATGGAACAATTCGGGTTATGCTCACGGTGTTCTTGAATTTTAATGACATAGTTCAAGTTATGCTCACTGTGTTCTTAGACTTTAATGGCAAAGTTCAGGTTATGCTACTTGTGTTCTTAGATCGTCGATAGCCAAGCGGTTCGGCCCTAGTCTGAACGATCGATCTTCACTTGCTATCGTCCAACCCGTGTTAGGAATCACACGTTAAAAGGTAAGACCTCGTTAATCCTTAGCTCGCACAAGTTTCGACTTCTGAGGGTTGTCGTTCGTAGGGGTGCGGTGCGTAGGGGTGGTTAACGGAAAAACAGATTTTAAACAGATTTTTAAACAGATGGCATAGTTCAGATTATGCGCACTGTGTTCTCAGACTTCAATGGAATAGTTTGGGTTATGCTCACGGTGTTCTTAGATTTCAATGGCATAGTTCAAGTTATGCTCACTGTGTTCTTAGACTTCAATGGCAAAGTGCAGGTTATGCTTACTGTGTTCTTAGAATGTAATGACATAGTTCAGGTTATGCTTACTGTATTCTCAGACTTCAATGGAATAGTTCGGCTTATGCTCACGGTGTTCTTAGATTTCATAGTTTGGGTTATGCTCACGTCGTTCTTAGATTTTAATGGCACAGTTCAGGTTATGCTCACTGTGTTCTTAGACTTCAATGACATGTTCAGGTTATGCTTCATGTGATCTTAGATTTCAATGGCATATTTCAGATTATGCTCACTGTGGTCTAAGATTTCAATAGCATAGTTCGTGTTATGCTCACTGTAGTCTTAGATTTTAATGGCATCGTTCAGGTTATGCTCACTGTGTTCTTAGACTTCATTGTCATAGTTTCGGTTATGTTCACTATGTTCTTAGACTTCATTGTCATAGTTTAGGTTATGTTCACTATGTTCTTAGATTTCAAGGACGTAGTTCAGGTTATGCTCACTCTGTTCTTAGACTTAGATGGCATCGTTCAGGTTATGCTCACTGTGTTCTGAAACTTCAATTTCACAGTTCATCATGTATTCTTGCTACAAGGTCAAATGGTCAATAAAGTGTACTATTCACAAGTTTGCGTGACGCGACAAAAAAAAATCTAGATTTACGAAAAAAACAATTTACGGGTTTTGCACCACAATAATGCACTACATTGCTTTTTCGTGAATTTTTGGCCAAAAACAATACTATAACGATGTCCCAGGCCCCATATTCGTCAGAAATGGCTCTGCGTGATTTTTTTCCCCAAAAAATGAAGATAACCTCAAAGGGCCGTCGCTCTACCAGCATATGCAACATTAAAAGCGTGTCGCTAAAGGAGCTAAAGGCTATCCCAAAGATCGAATCTGCGAAGTGTTTCGAGGACTATTTTGAAGGCGACAATGTTAATGTACACGAATATGATGAAGAATATGATATTTTTTTGAAAAAACCAAAAATCCCGTTATTTTCTGAGCATACTTCCTTGATACGAATAGGAATCCATTCTTAGAATAATATGTCTACTTTCAGACATTACGCATGCGTCTAGACGTCGGCGCATTGAGCCACGTATTCGCTCAAATATTCCTGGAGTCTCTCCAATTACCCTGCACGCATCGATTATGCGGTGTCTTAATTTCCCTACATCGCGAACAGGAGTACGATAAACCAAATGCTGTAAATGTCCCCAAATAGAGAAATCGAGATGATTGAGATCCGGGGATCGAGCGGGCCAGTTCTGTGGTCCTCCTCGACCTATTTACTGATTTGCATATGTTTCAGTTAAATGGTGACGTGCTACTTGACTAAAATGGGCAGGATCCCATGTTTATTCATTTGCGGTTTTCAGTATAAGTCACATAGTTATAACGATATCAGGAGGGGGCCGTGTTATAGGCTTATGCCTCTCCAGGGTTGGGTTCCTTTACAAGCAACTTGAATTAAAATGATCAGAGTTT